GATGCTAAGAATGGCTACTGTGTAGTCGAAGTGCTGGCTGTCCTAGATAAACTTCTATTTTGAATTCTCACAATGAACTATCAAGATCCTTCCATCCAAGTGGGCCTATTTACATGTGATGAGTGTTGGTGCTATAGTCATTCATTCGAAGACAATTGCCTCAGATCTGATCAATAAGGTAGCTAGCTGCAAATAAAATTTTCGGTAGAGTTTCTCAATAGATTATCTGTACTTGCGTCCGACTGTCTTTCTTGTTGATGAATTTCATTCATATATGGTCATACGATGAGCTTACGGACGGACTGGTCGAGCTTAAAATACAACCAGTTTCAAATGCAAATTACAGGAAGAAGGGTACATGACTCAATGGGTGAAACGTATCCGAGAAGATATCGTTTTTTATCGATTGTCAATTTTACCGACTTTTTTCTCGAGTTTTTCATCTTCAGTTTTAACTCTCAGAATATAAGATTCGAATGAATTCGACTTTTTTCGAAATGAGAATAGTGTTAGAAAATTCGTGCAGAAAACCCAATCGACTAGAACTGTGGACTTTGTTCCCACTATCCAAGTCGATCGATCCTACTGCTCCAGACTGTTTCTTCACCTCTTTTTTTCTCACCTGTTTTCTTTTGTGTTAATCTTTCATCCCTGATCTGTTGGAAACAGCGGTATTAGTCTATGCTGTTGGAAACAGCGGTATTGGTATCGACTTTGAAAGCCTTCTATGTTACGAACGAATTTCTCCCATCTTTCATACAATATCCTGTGGAATCTGTATGACGTTCGAATCTGATACTTCGTTTCTTCTTAGTTTTTTCAATTTTGCAATCCGTACTACTGTAGGTGTGGATGTATTAGGGTGGGAGAAACCGCACATTGTCTTTACTGACCGTTAGAGCGCAAAATAGTAGGGGTAGCCGACTCAACGTTTCTTAGCCGAAAATGACACTTTTCATTTATACATCATATTTCTTCCCATTTTTTTGCACAAGGAAATTATCCCGATGTCCCCCACCTTAGGTAAAAACTATTTCCCTTTGACTAAAGCCCCCCTATAAGCACATGCTACGAATCCTGCGCTATAGCGCACAATGTTGGAAAAAGAGCGACGCCCCTTCTCCAAATATATTTTTGCCCCTGTTTCACTTAGACGGAAAATTTTCTGTTCAGGATGTTTCTTATTTTTGGAAACTACGAGGCACTTTTTTGTTACAATAATTTTCACTTTTTTATTTCTGCTTCTTTCTGATTCTTGCGAGCTGAATCGCCTCGATTTCTTTGTTTCAAATAGGATCTCAAATACAATTTTACAGGGTGCGGCAAAAGTTCTGGCAATGGTAAATATGATCGTAAAAACGGTCAATACATCGATACATGATACTACTCCAACAGCATTTATCAACAGCTATATAGATTACAAAAACCACCTAGATTTGAAACATACTCCTTCTGGGCGAATAGAGGCTGGAATTCTTCTAGGAAATGCGTCGACGGCACGGAGGTAGACTTCGTCCAAATCCTCCCATGCTTCAACGGGGGTTGCACGTAGAGCATCCAAACTTCTACGCTTAGTAGAGCAGGCTTTCGTCTTGAGAACTGACAACACGGAATGGTCCAATGGATNTGAAGTCTGGGAAGTGCGTTGCGCACCAGTCCTGTACCACTTTGGGCCTGTGTGCTGGGGCTGAGTCCTGTTGATAAGTCCATGTCCGAAATGGGATTTTGCCCAGGGGAGTACCTCCTTCCCCAACATGCCTTCTAAGTAGGTCTTGCTATCCACCTTAAACCCTTTCTCCAAGAAAATCAGGGGCATTGTGCCGTCCGATGTGATTGCCCCAAAAACCATCAACGACTTGTGGTGTACAGATCGCTGAGCAATACCTCCATGCTGGCTGGCTTCTGCAGGGCTCCCCGCTATCACCCCTTCGTTTTGGGTGTTCAGGAATTGATCTGTTGAAAACAGACATTCGTCAATGAAAGGATGTTGCTGTGCCGTGCCTGCGAAAATCGCTTTAAAGCTTCTTACATCTTTCTAGCCTAGTTTTCTTCATACACTCAGTCAGCATGTGGGCTTCTCTGATATTATAAGAGTGAAGTCGAAGGTGGCTAGTGACAATCCCTCCAACAGATCGAGGGGAAATACCCACCTCGAAAGCCTTTTTTTTTTTCTTGGAACTCCGA